TACAGTAGTCTCTGCCTGGCTGAGCAACAGAAAACACTGTTGGTTTTTTTAAAAAAATAAAAAACTACAAAATAAATTGCCCAGCCAGTGCTGCTCAGTGGTTGAACATTGACCCAGGAACCAAGAGGGCCCCTGGTCAATTCCCATTCAGGGCACATGCCCAGGTTGTGGGCTCGATCCCCAGTAGGGGGTGTGCAGGAGGCAGCCGATCGATGCTCTTTCTCATCGATGTTTCTATCCCTCTCCCTTCCTCTCTCTCTAAAATCAATAAAATTAAGACACCTCGCTTCCAATTTTAGAAATTCCGCCTTCAAAGGTGAGACAGGGTCCTGAGTCTCTGAATTTTGAAAAAGTGCCATGTGACTCTGGTGCCCAGGTGGTGTCTGGTCCATGAGAGGCTACAATGATTGTAGCTACAGAGGAGCAGCGTGTCTGTGGAGGAGGAGCTGAGGGATGTCAGAGGGAGGGGAGTCACTTATTATACTGTTTACTGTTTATTGCATCTTTTCTACTGACTTTGAACCTAAAAAGTAGTTTGATTGATTGATGAAGTGGCTGTCTGTCACCTGTCAGTTACTGCAAACTCTAGCCCTACAGCAGGGAGGCGCCCACAGTCCTTAAAGAACAGAAGTGGGTGGTACAGAGGAACGGAGAGCTGTAGAGTGCACATCCTACCTCAAGGGGGCAGCAGCTGCCCAGCACCTGCTGATTGGGTCCAGATGGGAATGTGAGCCCTGTGTTGCCAGATCTTCCGTCTTTTCAAGATAAGCCTGAAATTAGATTTTCAAGAGGAATTCATTATCCACCAATTCAAAAATGTAAAATATAACACGCGCTGAACACAACACGCCTGCGGACTGAGTCTGGCTGCAGGCCACCACTTGGCGCCTTTGGGTCTAGGTTGCCAGCAAGGCCTGGGCACCTCCAAGGCAAATATGCAAAGCCAGAGCAGAGCCATCCTTTGCTTCTAGGAAAACGGGTTGACTCTCCATGAGGCGCACAAAGGAGGGCAAAGCAAGCGCCTAGAGGTGGACCGCAGGAGTCACTCACCCACTCACTGAACATTTAACTGGATACACATGTGGCAGAGATCCAGTGGTGAAGATCCTGTTCTGGGGAACCCTTTGCTCTAGCTAGGGAGACACACTTGAAACAAATAATTGCATAATAGTTCATTCCTTTGTGATACACGAGGGGCGGCAGTATAGCATGGGAGTTACAAGTTTGGGTTTGACACAAAGACCCCCAACAGTCAAAGCAATCCTGAGGAAAAAAAGAACAAATCTGGAGATATCACACTCCCTGATTTCAAATTATACTACAAAGCTATAATAGTCGAAACAATATTGTATTGGCAGAAAAGGACACACAGGAATAGAACTGACAACCCAGACATAAACCCACACATATATGGGCAACTAACTTATGACAAAGGAGCCAAGAATATACATTGGGGAAAGTCTCTTCAGTAAATGGTGTTCAGAGAACTGGAAAGTCACATGCTAAAGAATAAAACTAGACTGCTATTTGACACCTTACTCAAAAATTAGCTCCATCTGGACTACATATGTGAACATAAACCTGAAACAATAAATAGAAGAAAACATAGGCACTAAGCTTCTGGACCTTGGTCTCAGTGGTGTTTTTGTGACTTTGACTCCCAAAGGCAAAGAAAACAAAAGCAAGAATAAACAAATGGGACTACATTAAATTCAAAAGCTTCTGCACAGCAAATGATACTTACCATAAGGAATTAATATCCACAATATATAAAGAACTTACACAATTCAACAACAAAAACCAATCTGATTTTAAAATGGCAGAGGATGTGAATAGACATTTTTTCCAAGGAAGACATACAGAAGGTCAACGTGCATATGACAAGATGCTCAACATCACTAATTATTAGGGAAATGAGAATCAAAGCCACAATGAGATACCACCTCACACCTGTTAGAATGGCTATCATCAAAAAAGATAAGAAATAACACGTGCTGGAGAGAATGAGAAGGAAAGGAAGCCCTCATGCACCATTGGAATGTAAATGAATGCAATCACAGTATGGAGTTTCTTTTGAATATTAAGAGGGGATGGGGGTAAGGGTAGGGAAATTGGGGAAAAGGGGTTAAATATATGCTATCAGAAGGAAACCAGACTTTTAGTGGTAAGCATGCAACCGAGTATACACATACTGAATTATAATGCTGTAGAGAGCTGTGAGAGCACATAAAGGGGGTGCCTAGCTGAGCTGGGAGCCCCACCAACCCCTGGGGCTTCTTGCCAGTAAGGAGAGCGGAAGGCCACAGGTTGGAAGCCTGGCCCTAAGGCCGCTGCACCCACGGAGGCTCAGTGCCCCTCACACCCACCATTCGGCCATGGCCAGGGGGATTTGGCTAATCTCCCACCTGTAGCTTCTTCACTTGGGTCCATTTCACAGCCCACTTGTCCTCGTTGGCACTTGTCCTTGTTGGACTTGGTGCCCAAGGTCAGAGAAGGTACCACTCTTGACCTCACTGGAAGGCTATGGGCCAGAGCCCCTCCCTTTTGGAGCTCATCAATTCCTACAGTTAAGTTTTTAAAATCTGGGTGCCTGCACAAAACACGTCAGAACACCCTCCCTGGCCCTTTCAGAGCTGAAGACCAGCTTCTGCTGGCAGAAGCCTCAGGCGCAGGGACACTGTGGACCTTCCGTTTAACCCGAGTGAAGGGCGAGGAGACTTAGTGGCAGCAGTGTTTCTGGGGCCTTAGGGTTCAGCTCAGTGGGGGATCCTGAATGGCCCCTGACCTCAGGGGTCTGCAATCTAACCGGGTAGAGAAGGCCCAGAACCAGTCTTGGATTTGAGGGGATCACCAGGGCACCCAATGTAACCTCCTGCCCAAGAGGACAGCTCTTCTGAGGCTTCATCTTCGTGTTGTTCCTAAGTGAATGTTTAACAGTGATCCAGACAACTGCACTACATCCAGGTAGGCAGCCAAATGGCACCTGGAAGGATAGACGTACAAGGGGGGGCTAAACATCCCTGGAAGTCAGAACTCTCCCCTGGGAAAAGAGCACCCAGAGAGAGGAAACCTTCCTAAAGGTCTGGTGGGTGGGACTGAAACCTCTCTTCTTCAGAATAACAGGTTACTCCCTCCACCAAACCCCTAAGCACCTTGGTTAGTAGGAACGTAGGGTCCAGTGTTCTCAGCTGAGTGTTGTAAACTCTTCCCCTTCCCACAGAAGCACGTGATACGCCAGGACCCCATTCCATCTCTCCATTGATAGCATGTAGACCAAGGTGGTCCACATGCTAGGTGTTCATTAAACGTAGATTTAAGGGCTTCTTCACATCCCTCAAACCTCTTTTCCTCCAAGGCCACGCAATCACCACGATCAAGTGCAAAAGCTTCAGGAAAGGACAGGCCTTATTTTCCACTCAAACCAAAGCGAGTGGCGTGTGCTCCTTGGAGAGGCCCTGCTGGGAAAGATGCAGGCTCTGAGGCCAGGAGAGAGCACCCAGCATGCCTCCTTCCCACCAAATTATATGCAAAGAATTTTGGAGTGGAAGGAAGTTAACTAATGTAACTCAACCTTCTATTTTATCCAGGAGAAAACGGAGGCCCAGGACTTAGTGTCTCTTCAAAGGTCAGAGTGAAACAGAAAAGTGGGGTTCTGACTGTGTGGGTAAGATGCACACCCTTCAGTCTGACACCTCTGTCATGAGGTGGGAGCGGAGGACCACTTTCTGATACTGTCAGGATGTAACTAAAAGGATCCAGCTTGGTCCTTTTCTCGTTTTCCCCTTCTGAGTCCTACATACACAAAAGCTTACTGCCATCTATAGGACACCTTGTATCATTACTCCGAATTTCCACCTTGGGGCCATCTTGACATCCCAGCTACTCAGAATTTGTTTTAAAGATTCCACCATTTCACCCAGGCAAACTTCTAACACCTACTAAGTGCCAGAGACTGAGGATCCAAGTTCCTGCACATAAGCCTCACCTTGACCTCTATTTAGACATTGTCTGAGCCACTATGTTACTAAACTACACTTGATCTTGTTCCTTTTGGCTCTACATGGCCATGCCTCTTTAAATTTAGCTTCACTCACTGGCCTCTGGACAAAAATAGTAGTCATTATTTATGTGCCGTGCTAAATACGTACTAAGTAGTTCTAAGCGTGCTCTCTTTAAACATACAAGCTCACTTAATCCTACTGAGAGGCTGTTATCCTTCTAAGTTTGGTAAAACCCTCATCAAGATACAGCAGAGCTGCAGGGCACTCGCGGAGGCATGTATTAGCTTTCCTCACCATAGGTGCCGGCTCCCAAGAGCTTGTATAGATGGCTGAGAGGCAAACAATCATATGGAATGAAGGCCCTTTCCCAAATGCCCTGGGAAAGCTGCCAAAGGCTTTCCCTGAACGGCGAGGCAGAGCTCTGACAGCAGTGAGCATCCCACAGCCTCTGGATACAAGACGGAGGACCTGCCAATCTCAACCACCCGTGTCAAACGCTGCTCCCAGGAGTGCGGTTCCCTTTAATCACATCCCAGGAGCTCTACAGGGGCACAGAGGGTTTTATGAATATTCCAATTCTTGAGTCATAGCTTCCGTAGCAGGAAACGGTTAATATGCATCCCATCCCCAACTGTAACACAAAGCAAACTGTCAAATACCTTAAACTAGGATCTTAAGATTTCCTCTAAACTGTTCTCTAGAAACATCATTTGTGGCTTGATGTCAGCCTTTTGAACAGGGTCACACAAACAAAAAAACGCTTGTTTGCAAATAAACATCAGGAAGACTATGTAACAGCTGATCTGGGCCACAGCACACAACAAAGTGACGATTGTGGAAGAAGACAATGCAAACAGCTCTGGTGCACAAGTCTCCGGGCAGAGAACTTGCAGGATGGCTATTTCTGCCGGCCCCAAGGCCCCACCCAGCACGAACTAAGCTAGGAGGGTCTCCACCACTGGGCAATTTATTACCTGGATCGAAAGAAGTCACTGCCACTAACAGCACTGTGCAGTTTTATTAACCATTCAAGTACAGTAGCATCTGGTAAGATCGGGGCAGAATTGGGATTTAAAAGGGAACAGATATTCAGCATCTAACAATTTAAAAGCAACCACTACATACTCTTTTCACAAACATGTTTTCACAGAGCCAAAACAGTACTAGCCATTGACCCAGCACACCAAGTGTACTGAAGTAGAAAAGGTACAACAAGAAAAATAGCTACATTAGAAAGACCTCAACACTTTAGAAAAAGCGTAAAACACTTTCAGTTTCTCCCCTTTATCCCCTAAAACAACATCATCCAGTCTGGATCTACCTATGGTCCTACATCAATCAGCTTCTAGAATATTTGTCAGGAGGGCAAAAATAAAATGACACTGGCCAGTACAGTCTTTGGATATTTAGGAAGGGGAGGGGGAGAAAATCAGTTCTCAAAACAAATTAGTCAGCTTCAGTCTCGTCAGCAGGATCTTTGGATTCTTTGTTCTTCCGCACTTCTTCAATGTGCTTGTCCTGTAAAGAAACAGTACATGTCATCAGGCAAATAAAGCAGCCTGCCCAGTCACGCCTCCTACAGAGGTCCCACACTGTGTCAGTACATTTATTATATAAGTAGTATTATAAATATAGTAGGCACCCATTTCCTCGGTTTTGCTTTTCCTGGTTTCAGTTAACTGGGGGCAACTGCAGTATGAAAATATTAAATGGAAAACTCCAGAAATAAACATTTATTAAGTTTTAAATTATATGTCGTTCTGAATAGCACAATGAATTCTCACACTGTCTCGCTTGTCCTGCCAGGATAACATCATCCCTTTTCCCAGTGGATTCATTTAGTAGCTGTCTCTGTTATCAAATCAACTGTCACGATATCAGAGTATCTATGTACATGCAACCCTTCTTTTACTTAATGACCTGAAAATACAAGGGTAGTAATGCTGGCAATTAAAATGCCAAAGAGAAGCTGTGAACTTTATCACAGGCGAGTATGCACAGGGGAAAACAGTGCATACATACAGGGTTTGCTACTATCCGTGGTTTTAGGCATCTATTGGGGGTCTTGGAACACAGCCCACACAGATGAGGGAGGACTACTATATAATTATATTATGTGAATCAGATAATTAAGAGTTCTAAAACATAATCTTCAAACTTCCTGGATCACCAGAGGAATCTAATGATTGAGCCTCCTATTGTTCTCCCAAAGAAAGTGCAATTATGCTGGAAATTGTTGAATATTCCATCTTATTTTTTTTAATTGATTTCATTTTTAAAAAATATTTTTTTTATTTCAGAGAGGAAGGGAGAGGGAGAAACATCAATGATGAGAGAATCGTTGATGGGCTGCCTCCCGCATGCCCTACTGGGGATTGTGATTGCAATCAGGCATGTTGCCCTTGACTGGAATCAAACCTGGGACACCAGTCCTCAGGCTGATGTTCCATCCACTGAGCGAAACCGGGTAGGGCTATTCAATCTTATTTTAAAATAAGATACCTCTCATTTTTGTTTTGTTTTTAAAATTTTTTTTTAATGGTAAAGAATCATGAATTTATTAGGTCATCAGGAAAACTAGATGGGATGAGCCCCAAAATGGCACCAGCATAAGACACCTCTCATTTAACACGTTAAGCCCCCAAATTGATGACAAAGATGCCAAACACCTTCGATCAAGGCCACTGGTGGAAGCCAGTTCACTGGTACATGAAACTCCAAGCGTCCTCCTGCAAGGGGAGACACCCACCTTCTCTCGCAAACGCTCCAGTTTGGCAGCCATCTGTGCCTCTCGGTTCTCCTTGTTGGCTTCCATTTTGTGGGTCAGTTTCTCCTCTGCCATTTTACTGAAGTTGTTGTTCTCCTCGATGGCTTTCTGAAGCACTTCTTTCTCGTGCTCTCGTTTCTCAGCAAGCTGCTTCAAGACCTCAGCTTCATGGGACTACAAGGCAGAATGAGATCTCTTTAGATAACACTGAGGCCAGGCCCTGACTGATCTGAATCAAAACATTATGAAAATCATTTTCTGGTGTTTGTGTTTACTTTGGAAAACTGTCTGCTCAGAGAATCTTATCCAATTGCTCCTTAAAGAAATCCTTACAAGATTTACTGCTTAATGGTATCAAGATAACTTGAGTGAATGCACTTAAAAATGGAACTTTATCATAAAGAATTTTGTTATTTAATTTGAAAGGCTATCCAAAGGAAATTAGCTCGTTATAAAAGTGCGACCACACTGATAAAATACATGAATGACAGAAACGTTAAGCCTCCAGATTACTCTTTAAGCCAGAAGGATTTCTCTCAAAGAAAAGCTTACTAGCTTTCCTCTGTGGAAGCTGCACTAACTTCCAGACCCCGGAGCTTGATTGCCATGGTGTGCCTCCCTCAACAGACTCGGAATGGCTTGTTACCAAACAGACTCGGCCGTGTTTGGAAGCATTGACTTGCAGGAAAACTACAGAGCATCTGCCATTGGTTCTGTTAATTCTCTTTTGCAAAGTCCCAGTCAGACAAGAGTTCCCCTATACTTAGCCAGTCCCTAGGTGAAGCACAGGTTAATGGCTACAGGGCCACGGTGACCTCTCAGCACTTCTCCGTCCAGCTTTAGGCTGCATTTCTCCCGTGAACACAAACGACAGAGCAGGTAAGAGGTGATGCATCGCTGCACACACTGCCCTCCTCCCGGAAAAGGCTCCGCAGTGTGGATAGCGGGCCAGTATACATGCATACAACCGTGGCACTGAAAAGTGCATAGTACGTTCTGCAGAAGCTTAAAAAGGGGCCATTATGTGGATGTGTGTGGTTAAATGTATTGGACTTAAACTGCACTTGCTGTGTTGATGGGGGCAGGTTATTACTTTACCTTTTTCTGACTTGGTTTCCCTAATTTCAAAATTAAACCCATTCACCCCAATCAGTGAATTGGTAAGGGGGACTAAATGAGAACTTCTGTAAAATTTTCAATTAATAGAATAATGTTGAATGGAAGGAAATATTCCAACATGTTAGTGGTTATTTCTAGGAAGTAAGATAAAGAATACTCAATTTCTTATTTATAAACTTCTGGGTTTCCCAATTTTTCTATAACAAGTATATTAATGGTTACTGATTTTTCTGATTATTTTTAAAGATGTCTACTTTAAGTAGAATAGCTTACATAAGAGAAAAGCTGCCACAATATCAGAATGCCAACTGAGCAACAAAATCACATTACTAGCGATTTAAAATGTTTTCTTTTCTTTCTTTCTTTAAAATTGATTTCAGAGGAAGGGAGAGGGAAGAGAGAGACGGCAACGTCAATGATGAGAGAGAATCATGGATCGGCTGCCTCCCACACGCCCCCCACTGGGGATGGAGCCTAAAACCTGGACCTGTGCCCTGACTGGCAATCAAACCCGGGACCCTTCAGTCTGCAGCTGAAGCTCTATTCACTGAGCCAAACCAGACAGGGCTAAAGTTTTTATTGTATAGTTCTCAAGGAAACAAAAACAAAAATACTACATAGGCACACACACAAATCAAAAGAAACGCCCAAAATCTAAAAAGACAAAAAAGGAGTCATCCACCAACAATTCTGTTTCAAAGAAAAAGCATGGGAAGCATGAACTCTGGTTTCACACAGACCTGGGCTTGAATTATGGCTCCAATACTCACTGGCTATATGGCTTAGGAAATGACCACATTCTCAAGACCATTTTCTAAGCTCGGTACCTAAGACATTACCTACCCTTTTAGAGTCACTGTATTAAAGGAGAAAAATATAAGTAAAGAAGTTGGTGTATGTATAATAGCTTAATAAATGATGTTTGGTGTTTTCTTCCAGTCACTGGCATTACGTAATTTTCACGTAAGTATAACCATTGTCTAGTTACAATTCTGTTTTCCCCCTGTTATGGAAATAAAATTGATTTGTCATATTACTATAATACAATAAATACCATTTTCTGTGAATTCTGATGTTTACCTTGCGTCTTTCTTCTGCTGCTTCTAATTTCTTCTGAATTTCCTCCAGGGAAAGATCCTTCTTCTTTGGAGGGGAAAGGGGGAATTCTGGGACGGGTTCTTTTGATCGAGGGCTGAGAATCAGCTCAAAAGCCTGGCCTGAAGCACGCTTCTCCAGTTCTTTCACCTGGATATCTGGATTTGATCGTATTTATAATGTATTCAGAAAAACAGGGTTTTCCTATTCTAATAAACTGTTCTCTAATTTTCTAAAAATCAAATCAATGTAATGAACAGAATTAGGGCTAATGAAGCTGTGTTTGCAAGCAAGAAATTATTATGTAAATATCACGTTTCAAAAAAAAAAAGTTCAACATTTTCTGATTAATAAATAACATTCTGAAATATCAGTATTTGACAGTCACTTTCATGAACAAAAGAAAGACTTGTGCAAAACTCCACATTTTGCTTCAGAGCAAGCCAAATCATCTAATAATGAAACAATTAATTATAAGCTCTCTCAGTACCTTCAAATGATAGCCATTTGTTCTTTAATTATTCTGATTTATAAAATACATTTTTTATAAGACCAAAACACAGGTACCAAATTAATGGCTAAGACTTAAGCCACCTCCTATTCAGAAACCATAAGCCCATCACAATTTCAGTTTTTCCCAAACCGTTTACCTACCAGAAGAAGCCATGGTGAACAGAAGACAAGAGTCTGGCAATATATTCTACACAATCCACTGGCAAGGGAAGCCCTGAAAACGATTTTCAAAAGCATGCAATCAATTTCTTTGCATTTCTATATGTCATCCATCCCTTGGGGGGCATGAAATCACATTCACATAAATCAATGTCAGAAAAATCACTACCGTGGAATTAAATAAGACGTCATTAACTAGAAATGATGAAAAGCTCAAAAATACCAACCATTGGGAAATTTCAACTGAATAGAACGTTGGATGGAGTTAACTCAACAGTAAGCCCGGAGCCATCTTAATAGTGCCTACAACTCATTGTGCAAATGAAATACCCACCCCTGCTTTGTCTATGCCTGCCGTGGTGGAAAACAAAACGCCCAGGCTAATATTAAACAATAATGTTGAACACCTATTGTTCTTCGGGCTTAAAGCTCCTTGTCCAACAGCGGGCAAAATCAGTTTTATGAATGTCTAGGTTTTACGTTATATTTGCCGCCTTAATGCCACGAAAAATTCTACATCCTATCTTGATTTTTTTTTTAAGGTCATGATTCTTGTAGCCCTACAAGCATCTCGTGGCCCTACGCTAGTATCAAAGATATAGGATTACAGGTCCCTACCAGCTGGAAATTAAAACCAGAGGCAGAGAAATGATTTAACATTAGCAGAGCATTAAACGCAGCAGCGGACCCCAGGATGGGCGTGGCCCTGGCCCGAAAGCGGCCCCCGGCCAATCAGAGCGCGCTTAGCGCTCCGAGCCCTGGCCCCGCCCCCTTCCTCCCCGCGCCTTTTCGAATCCGAACTCACAACACCCAGGAGCCCGCGAGCGTGGAGAGGGGAGGGGTGGGCGGGACTAACGGTCCTTATCGGATAACCCCGCCCACCCCGGGCTGCTCCCCTGTGGACGCCCCCCCACTCCCGCCAAAATCACCTTGAGGCCGCCCCCACGCTGCCGCGGCTCGGGACCAGGCCCTGGGCTGGCCTCCACCCCGCTCACTACCTCCTCGCTGCGCTCCCTCCCAACCCACTGCCTCCCTAGCCGTCCGCGCCCTGCTCCGCGCGGGCAGGAGTGTCCGTGGGGTGTGAGCCTCTCCGGCGCGGCCCCACGGTCACTGGGCGAAGAGAAGCGCGGGGAGCGGGTGCAGCCCTCGGGTGGCGCAGTCTGGCCTAGGGGCGCTGCTGCCAGGAGGCGCCTCCCAGCCCCTTCAGACAATGGGGACCCCAGCGGGGCCACGACTGGAGTAGGAGTGAGAGAGGCAATCGGGGACCCACGCCCCCTATTGTCTCCTCGACAGCACCCGGGGACTAACGCCCGAGGCTGGCCCAGCTGGCCGCGCCCCCTCCCCAAGACAGCCGCGCCCCCAGGGAGTAAGGACAAAGCCCAGGCTCCGCCCGAGTCACACACAAAGCGCAGCGACCCCCACCCATCAGCCCCTCGGGGGCCCGGGGCCCCGCCCGCCGTCTTCCAGCGGGGAGCGGCCCCGAAGACGCAGCCCGTCTCGTCCCCCCTCGCTGCCCATGGGCTCCGCTAAGAACCCCACACCCACCTGCCCGGTCCGAGCCGCCTGGCCGCACTGAGCACCAACAGATCCGAGCGCGCACAAAAGCGCCAAACAGAGGCACGTGACCTCCCCGGAGGGCTCCGCATTGGCTGACAGGGGTGGCACGTGCAGCCGACCCCGCCCCTGTGGGCCCCGGAGCACCTCGGGAAATGTAGTCCAGGCTGGCGAGGCAGGAGGACAATGCGAGGGGCGTGGGCGTTTATGGGTCTCCCCAGGTGTGAACGAGGGCCCTGGCGGTTGTCTAGCCGCGGAAAAGGACGTGGCCCTCGGTCTAGAACTGAACCAACTCTCCCACCCCTAAGGAAAAGGGCAGGACCGGGAAGGGCGGGGCGGGGCGGGGTCCCTCCGCACCTCTCAGAGGGTGGCTGCCTGGCCGCTGCCTTCGTTGAGCTACTTGCTCCGCTTCGTCGAAAGGACAATACTCAGGGCGCAGTGCCCCAACGGTGTCCCCCCTGCCCCGTGCCGCTACCTGAGATGCCCAAGCCCTTGTGACAGGACAATGCCACCCTACGCCCCTCGTGAAAGCCCCCTGCATCCGAAGCCGTTCCTTGACACCTGCGCATCACCTGTATTGTGACATCACCATAATCCCTAAGCCACCCAGCCCTGACAGATCGCGGGCGTGGCCCTTGCCTTCATGTGTGCGTTCTCGCTACCATCCTATGGGTTCCCAAACGTGGTCAGAGCGGAGGAGGGAAAGCGTGAGTGACTTAGGCCAAAAGCTCTGGAATTTGATCTCCTTCTGTCTAAATTGGCTTAAATGCAGACTCCATCTGTTCTGCCTGCTAGCCTTTGTCCAGATGCTAGGGAAGGAAGAGCAATAGCAGTTACACAGACTGCCCTTAAGTGTTGCTTTTGTTCTTGGAGCACGTGCTCCCTGGAGCGATGATGGACCTTTTAAAAATAATTTAAAACAAAAGGAGCCACAAGGTCACTCACTATTCCTCCATGTCTGGGTAGATCCAAGCACAGCAGAGGTACAAAGGAAATTGGTCTGACCCTAGCTATCAGATTAGAATGATCGGCCTCCCCCTTCCCACAAAAAGGCCTGAGGAAAAAGAATAAAATGGATATGGTTCCCAGGCCTCTCCTCCCATCCCCCTGACCAAGGCTGTGTCCTCAGGGAGTGGCCATGGCACTAAGGCACCTGCTTTGACATCCTGACTGGGTAGAAGAGCACCTTCATCTTATTAATCAACGGGCTCCCTCTCCCCAAACCCAGAAACAAATGTGACCAACTCTGCAAAAACAACAGTCCTAATTTAAAAAGACTCTTCACGTCCCGCTAGTCACTAAAGATACAGTGAATCGGTGCCCGAGACAAGGAAAACTGGATCCTACAGGCAGCAGACACACCACACAAAGCAAACAGTTAGCAATGTCCTTTGGCCCGAAATATGCTTGTTGCTGCATTTTCTACAACAATTGCCCTTGTGTGGGGTCGGCTTTCCCCTGCCCCCAACCTAAGTGGTTTTCCCTTAGCGTGTGAGCAGGACCAGAAATTCCTCAGATTCTCCGCCCCAAAACGCTTCTCCCTCTCAGACCAAACCTGGCCACGAAACAGCCAGGTGCTTCCATTGCTTTCCGTTTTCTGAGTGAAATCTCAGAAATGGTTAGAAAAGCTGGAGAGAGGGGAGGACTCGACCTCACTGAAGGGACAGATTGGCAGGCAACACAGCCGAGCAAGGAACCCAAGACCAAGAGTTCTGTTATCCCTGGAACCTCCCTTTATCTCCAAGCCTTTGTGCTTGATCTGGAGGTTTCCAGAGGAAGGTCCCACCCTTTTTCTTAAAAAAGAAATTGCCACGCAAAAATCTCACATTTCTGACAATTAATGTTGTGACAGGAAAAATTTAATCTTTCAAAAACACTGATTATTTTAATGCTTGTACAACGCTTTCCCCCCCCCCCCAGCCCCCCACCTTTCCTTTCTCCTTAGAGCAGATGTCTATTTCCATGGAAACCATAGCTAGCAAGAAGATGTCAGAACTCATGTAGATTTCTGATCTTTGTTAAAGATGCCACTTAGCTCCTGGGTTTGCTGTGAGATGCCTGGCCCTGCCCGTCTCGGTGACAAAGATTTCCTGGGAGCCGCCCTGTTGCTTAGGGACTAAGGTTTCCCCTAGAATGGTCCCAAGAATAAAAAGGTGCTTGTGAGAGGGGGATGATCCCTGTTTTAGGGACGATCCCTGTTTTGTCTTTCCGAGAGCCAGACCAGAGCTATCTATTGTCAGCTCTTCTGAGTGTTCATGGATGAGCCCTGAACTAGGAAGGGCTTTCCACTGTGAGGAGAGAAAAACCGTTTTGCCACTTTTCGGTGGAGAGAGACAGAGCTCCCATCTCAGATGCTTCCTAAAATGCACTCCGAACCCAGACCCTCCTGAAGCCGTGGCACGGGGTTCATGCCCCCATCTCGGCTCTGCCTAGCTCTCCCCCGGAGAATTGTTTTTGCCTCTGCTCCGATGGTTTGGTCGGATTGCACTGGAGCTGGCTGGAACTGGATTAGCACAAAGTGAAGTCAAGATAGGGCAGCCACCCAGCTTATTTGATCCGAGTAGGCAACTACAGGACAGCACCGCAGGCTTCAAAGTCCAGAAGAAATGCCTGCCCTGATCAGTTGCACCGGGGGCAGTCCTCAGATCTCTGTTCCTGCGGAGCAGCACCGGCAGCCTTTGTCCATTGTTGGTTCTGAGGCTGCAGGGGTTGTCTCCCACATCGGCGCCTCCGCAGAGCTCCACTGGGCTCCAGGGCCTGTCCTTGGCGAAAGGGTGCCGTGGGAGAGCTTTCTCCCTGTCCCCAGCAGCTCGTTCCCTTTGTCCCCTGTCGCTTGGGCATTGTGCTTGAACACTCCCTTCCCAGTTCAGATGCTGTCTGTGCATCTGCTGTTTCACACGCTTGGCTCCCTCCCTGGAGGAGTAAGTCCAAGAAGGCAGGGGCTGTGTCTTTGTCTTGATTTCCCCGGTGCCTAGAATCAGGCCTGGTCCAGGATAGTGGGGTTTGGACATTTGAGGTTGACTTTAGACAAGAACAACTTTTCTCATCCTCAGCTTCCTCTTCTGTAATGCTCCTGGATTATAATGAGGTCATGTACGTGAAAGCACAGTGCCTGGCACGTCGGAAGTACCTAATGTTTGTTAGCTATTATTGCTAAAGAAGTTTCTGGATTGCTATAGGTTATTGAATGAATGAATGAATAGCAATCATTGTCTCTGGGTTAACTCTTACCATGGGGTATTTTACAAATTTCCATTCCTTTAACATTTTGAGTAGATAATACATTCACATAATTTAATAATAAAGTGTGAAACGTCCTCCTCCCTTCTCTATTCCACCTGCCAAATTTGATACCCCCTCCCCTAGCATAACCTTTGTTCTCTTCCTGTTATCCTGAAGTTTCTTTATATGTACATAGGCAAAATTCTTCCCTTCTAAAATACAAATGGTCATCTACTGTAACTATTTTGCACTTAGGATGTTTTCACTCAACAATACATGTCAGGAATCTTTTCATACAGAGATCTGTTCATAGATCAGGCATTTCCTTGATCTGGGATCCACTGTATGAAAGGATGTTCCATAACCTAACCCTATCTATGATTTTTAAGTTATTCCAAATTATTTGCTATTTCAAACAATGCAGTAATAAATATAACCTTATAAATATAGCATTTTCCACATGGATGAGTATATCTGCAAGATATATGCCTAGAGTACGTATATATTGCAAGGGCAAAGGGCAAACACATTTGTAATTTGAATAGTGCCAAATTCCCTTCCAGAGGAGTTGTACCAGTTCAATGGTTTACCACCCACAATGAATTACCTCAATTCATTCAAAAATGGTTTGAATGGCTTTTCCCTAGACATTTCAGGCATCGGGGAAAAGGAGGGGGAGGACTAGAAATCCCAAGAAAGAAGTGGCTGTCAGTTCTGTCTATATTAATAACTCCTATAAATGCGTGACAAGCAGCTGCTGATCTCTGAACAGAGCTGGTGCCTGCACTATAGCAGTTGTCTCCCTCAGTCTGTCGGTTGAGAATTGTCTGTAGGTGTTGCTATGAGATTGGGGGCTTTTTGAGGGCAGGGTCTTTTTCAGAGCTTTATCCCACTCCCTTCCTCCTGATGCGTGGCACAATGCCTGGCACATAATTAACTGTAAGATGTAGTGGCCCCATATTTCTGTATCTTTGAAATCAGTTGTACCTCATAGTCAATAAATAACATGTCATAATTATGGACAGCATATTTTCTTTTTCTTTTTTTCTTTTTTTTATAAATATATTTTATTGATTTTTCACAGAGAGGAAGAGAGAGGGATAGAGAGTTAGAAACATCGATGAGAGAGAATCATCGATCAGCTGCCTCTTGCACACCTCCTTCTGGGGATGTGCCCGCAACCAAGGTACATGCCCTTGCCCGGAATCGAACCCGGGACCTTTCAGTCCGCAGGCCGACGCTCTATCCACTGAGCCAAACCGGTCCCGGCTGGACAGCATATTTTCTTAGTGGTACATAAAACAATGATATGTCTTAAAAATCAATGTCGCTGAAACCAGCTTGGCTCAGTGGATAGAGCGTCAGTCTGCGAACTGAAAGGTCCCGGGTTCGATTCTGACCAAGGGCATGTACGTTGGTTGCAGGCAACCAAGAGTCTCTTTAGGTATGCAGGAGGTAGCTGGTCGATGTTTCTCTCTCATCAATGTTTCTAACTCTCTGTCCCTCTCCCTTCCTCTCTGTAAAAAATCAATAAAATATATATTTTTAAAAATCAATGTAATTCTGAGTCAATGAAATATGGTAAGCCCATATTAAATGATGAGTAGAATGGGGTCAAGATGTCACTGCCCCTGCCAGTCTTCCTGTTCCATGTTCTAACCCTCATCCTTCTTATCTAAGTCCACGCCTTCTTCTAATGATTCCTTTTATGGGAATGGCTCCCTTTTGTTTCTTGGGTTCCTATTTTTCTCCAAAACCACACCATTTCTAAATCCTAATGGACAGCTCCTCATGGATACCCCTACCCCATAAGGCCCTCAACTCCATATGAGTCACATTGAACTGACATCTTCCCACCAACAACATCTAGGGTTTCCTATTCAGCTAGTGGCT